AATAATATCTCAATATTGAACAAGAACCACCTAGTTTTTGAAGGGCGAGATCTATGTGTCAAAAACCGCAAAATTAAATTTTTTTCTTTTTGAAACAATCATTTAGGGAGTTTTGAAGTAGTTTCCAAAATCTAAGGCTGAAAAAATCTTCCCACCAACTCTTATGATTGATGGGGTAGACGTAGAATAATGTTCAGTGTGTAAGGGTGGGAATGGGGTCAGGTCAACCCACAGACACCGTGAGTCGACCGTAGGGAGGGAGAGAGACTTTCTTGGCATACCATTATGAAGTTCGGGACGATCCAAGATGTGAATTGAGACTCTTTTTCTTAGCAGACTTTTCCATGGTTGAATTCAAATGCCAGTACCACCAGTATCCAACAGATATTCTACTCCCCCGGTGAGTATATTGTCTATTTACTCCCTTCAGTAAAATCCCACCTAAGATTAGTTTTAGGATCTCAAATGTTGGGATATATCTTCTTTAGCACATAAATTAACTTTAATAATAAAATTTTTTTTCATGATTGCACCATCAAAGCACAGCACTTGAATCTCTAGATTGAATATAAACCGTCCAACTTTTAGATGATGACATCTAAGTGTTAAAAAAAAATCAAATTCTAAAGTTTTTTTTATGAGAATAATCATCTGGTGATTGCAAGGTGGTTACTGAAATTTCAGATTGCAAAAACTCCTCCCAAATAGCTCATCTAACTGAAGGAGTAAAAATAAATTATGCTCCCGAGAAAGCATATACGTACTGGAAATTAGAGTAAAGAAAGTCCACAAAGGGAAGCTTGGAGAGCAAGAAGAGAGAGGCATACAACAAGGTTTTCTCCAAACACAAATCAAGTCCTCCACAAAGTTATATAAAGAGACAAATAAACAAATAACTCGCGGAGACTTCAATTTCATCTCATTTATATGAGGACCGGTTTTTATGCGGCCAAACCCGTATATCTAGAAATAGGGGCTTATTAATAAATTTATTTTTGAGATGGATTTTTGGACTTAATTTTTAAAGACATATAATCTCTAACATGGTGACCAAGAATATGAAAAAATCAGTAAATAAATTTTAAAAATTAAAAATAATAATTCTAGTAAAAAAATATTTGAACTATTAATTTTCATTGTTCTCAAATGGAACGCTTACGTGCATTCATTTTAAAAGTGGATGGTTTATACTTTTTGGACAGCATAAATAAACATGCGGTCCAACCCGCATGAGACAATTTTCTTTATATGAGAGAGAGTAGAAAACAGAAAGCGACGTTGCGTTTTTAGCTGTGGACACATGCACTACACGTTGCATGTTGGAAAAATTGTAATTGTATAGTCTCTTTCCTACCCATTTTTGTTATAAGTAAAATTAAGCTATTGTGGTTTCTTTAGTATCCGATCCCAAATAGTAAAAAAAAAAAGAAAAAGAAGAGTCTAATGATGATAAAATTTCCTTTTAATTGCTTGCATCCCAAGTCTATAAGTACTGTAATCTTCCACGAATATATATACATTATTATCAGGTGTAAACAAGTATTAAGAGAAGTTTTTATTTATGAAAACTTTCAATAATTGCATATTAATTTTGCATCCTACGCTAAGCTTAGCCATGTATTTGACCCTTTTTTTTTTTTTTTGATAGATCAGGGGATTACAGGCCTCTTGCCTATTTTGAAAAGGATGTGGTTTATATAGAGTCAACGCTCTAAACAATCAAAGTAAAGCACACCTTCAAATAGTATCGAGAAATGTGGTTTCAATGCTGGAAATCTTTGTGATAGCCTTAAAATATATTTTTATTTTTAATTATAAAATTTAAATATTAAAAAATAATATAGATCAAGCAGATCTATGAAAATTTGAAAATCTTGAAAATCGACGGTCCAAAAATGTGTTACAAGATGCACTATTTATAAAACTTGAAATCCATTTTTTCTTCTCATGTCAATGCATCTTGAGGTCGAGATGATCAATTTAAAGATATTTAGAGCATCAAAACAACCTCTTCTAGTGCAATTTTTGAGGGGTGCCCTAGTTTAATTGTTTAGAGCCTTGCACCTATAAAACCTTTTTCCTATTTTAAAAGCCTGATATGTACTATTGTAATGGATAAATTATTTTGGAAATAATTCTTGTCCACCCAATTCGGTAAGGGTGCAGTTTGCGTACGGATGCATCCGTAGGTGTAGAGGTAAGGTGCACCTTCAAATTTTATCATGGTACAAATTTTGATGTAAAATGTTGTTAGGATTATTTCAAAATCTATTTTTATATCTAATTATAAAATTTTAAATTTTAAAAATGGTTAAAATCAAGTAGATCTATAAACATATAAAAATCTTGAAAATGGACGGTGTAGATAATATGTTGTAAAATGCACTATTTTTTATACTTAAAATCTTTTTATTTTTTATGGTCATACATCTCGATGTCGAGATGATCAATCAAAGGGCTTTTTAATATTGAAAGTACCTTTTCCGATGGATTTTTTAGGTGCATCCGTAGCTCTACATTATAAAGTAGTAAGCTTATGTAAACTTTTTCCATTCGTTAATTATGTCAAAGTTTTGCCTCATATTCCAACGTAGATATATTTGGTTTTCAAGAAGATGGGGAAAATATCTCTCACACAATCAATTTCACAATTAAGTGCATGGTTTTGTAAGGGCCTCAACACTATGGTCTTGAATCTTATTCTACTGAGAATAGAGAAATACTAAGAAGCCTAGAGCTAGTTATAGGAAAAATTAATAAAACAAGAAAAAAGATAAAAAGAAAAGAAAAGAAAAAAAAAAAAAAAAAAAGGTCGTAAATTAGTTCGGTGATTGTAAGCCATTATGAAACTTCAATCATCATCATCCTATCTGTCCGTCCCCTCCCCTCTCTCCCTCTCCCTCTCCCTGTAAGTTGTCATGTCTTTTTGCATTACTTTCAAATATTTATGTTTGAGTGAACTTTCTTTCTTTTTTTAGCCGTCCATTTGAACCAACTCATATCATATAAAATTTCAAATATATTACACATAAAATGGTAATTTGGTAATTTTAGAAAATAAGGACAGTTTTGGTATTAATGTAGTGATATTCTCATATAAAAGGTAATTTGGTAATTTTAAAAAATAAAAGCAGTTTTTTTTTTTAGCCTTCCATTTGAACTACCTCATACCATATAAAATTTCAAATATATTACGCATAAAATGGTAATTTGGTAATTTTAGAAAATAAGGGCAGTTTCGGTATTAATGTAGTGATATTCTCATATAGAAGGTAATTTGGTAATTTTAGAAATAAGGGCAGTTTCGGTATTAATGTAGTGATATTCTCATGTAGAATTGGACTTGGTTGGTTTTTCATTTCTTTGTAAATAAAAATCTATTTTTCTGTTTTATTAAAAACTAGCCTCATTGGTCGGTTTAATTAAGGAAAAAGTTTATATAGAGCCAAGGCTCTAAATAATCAAATTAGAGCCCACCTCACAAATTTTACTAGAAGAAGCTGCTTTGATGCCGAAATATCTTCAAATTGATTATCTCGACATCAAGATGCATGGACATGAGAAAAAAATAGATTTTCAAGCTTTTATAGATTTGATAGAGATACACTATTTTTAAAACTAGAAATTTTATAATTAAAGATGAAAATATATTTTAAGGCTATCACAAAGATTTCCATTTTTTTTCTGATTTATTTTTAAATTATTTTTTTTTGTCTCTTTTTTTCATAGATCAGGGGAAGAGATCCTTTTACCCTGGTGTTTATAAAACTCGAGTTTGAGAGCCTAACACCGCGAATTCTATCGCCCAACACGTTGGCCAGTTTACACCCATGCTTATTGCGTAAATCCAATATTCAAACTACATTTCTCAATACTATTTGAAGGTGTACTTTACTTTAATTGTTTAAAGCTTGGGCTGTATACACGCCGCACTCAAAATTTATTTTATTGTTTTATTAAAAAATGGCCTTTTTGATCTGTTTAATTAAAATTAATAAGTAGTAAAAAATTAAAAAAATATTGGACCAACACCATAGTACAACATTTCCCAAAATAATTAAATACAAGGACAATATTGAAAATATGGATGGGTAAGGCCTATATATAGAGGTGCCAAATCTTAGAAAGCTGGAACGGAGTGTATGGTAACGAAAAAATTTCCTTTCTCTCTCATCAATAGCGCACACGTACGTACTCTGTCTCTCTAAAGGCCAGTAAGTTTCTGTCTCTTGACATGATTCTCTTTTGGGTTTTCGGCAGTAAAGTTTATCCGATATGATCCAAAAGGACGTTGGATTTTCGAGTTTTAAAAGGTTTTGCTCTTTCTTGTATCCATCTTGAATGGAGGAAACTTGAGATACTGGTTTTTCAGTTTCTCTCACTTTTTGTACCATTTTGATAGAGCAGACTTAAGCTTTTTGGGTTCTCAATTTCAGAAGATGATTCTCTGTCCTAATTAATCGTAGAAGTCAAAAAGAACGTTGGGTTTTTTAGTTTTCGAGTTTCATAAGATTATGGCTTTCCGTTCTTCATTTTGATGGAAAAATCATTGGTTTTGCGTTCTTCTTCCATGCATTGCTCTCGATCCAATTTGACAGTGGAAAGCTCGGGTTTCTGTGTTATTGAGTTTCAGAACTACTTGCATTGCGAAGAAAACTGTCCAATTTAGTTATCTGGAATTTGCTATTTTGTTCATTTTAAATTCTGCTTATATCTCAATCCTAAATGAAATGCAAGTAGTTGGGATTTTTATTGTCTTCTTGTCCATGAATTTGGGCTGTTGGTATTATGAACTCTAATGCAGAATACACATAGTGGAGCTCTGCGTCCTGATAATTAAGCTTAAGCACATTTTGATATCCCATTATTGGTTCAGAGCGTATCGCCCTTCTTTCTCGATTTGGTTATAGAAGAAAGACATGGTTTTGGGCTCACAATCCTTATTTTAGTACATTGTACCCTTTCCTCAATCTCAAATATTATGACCTATACTTGCATCCAACCTTTTGTTCTCATGGGTCTTTAAATTGAGGGTCTTTTGTCTTTCGATTTCTGGGTCCTTTAAAGGTGTGGTCTTTTGTCTTTCAATTTCTGGTTCCTTTAAAGGTGTGGTCTTTTGTTTTTAGATTTCTGCGCCCTTTAAAGGTGTGGAAGAGTTTCTAAAGCTTCACCAATAATTTGCTTCAGAAATGGCCCTAGCAACCACTGTAAAAGTTGTTTTGGGTACAATAGCCTTTTCTATGTTTTGGGTCCTAGCAGTTTTCCCTGCTGTTCCCTTTCTTCCTATTGGTCGGACGGCTGGTTCCCTCTTAGGAGCCATGCTAATGGTTATCTTTCGAGTTGTAACACCAGAGCAGGCGTATGAAGCTATTGATCTCCCAATCCTTGGTCTTCTCTTTGGAACCATGGTGGTTAGTATATATCTCGAGAGGGCTGACATGTTTAAATACTTGGGCAAATTTCTTTCTTGGAAGAGTAAAGGAGGTAAAGACCTTCTCGTTAGAATTTGTCTGGTTTCAGCTCTAGCTAGTGCCCTGTTCACCAATGACACATGCTGTGTAGTTTTAACTGAATTTGTACTGAAGATAGCCCGACAAAATAATCTACCCCCTCAACCATTCCTCCTTGCATTGGCCTCTAGTGCAAATATTGGGTCCTCAGCAACTCCCATTGGGAACCCTCAAAACTTGGTCATAGCAGTTCAGAGCGGCATATCTTTTGGTAAATTCTTGAAAGGGATAATCCCTGCCATGCTTGTTGGAATTGTTATTAATGCCCTCATTCTTTTGGCTATGTTTTGGAAGATTTTATCGATCGAAAAGGATGAGGAAGGTGCAATGTCAGAAGCAATTGCAGAGGATGAAGTGAACTCTCATCAATTTTCACCGGCCACCATGTCGCATCTGACGTCCACAGCTTCTCAAGATATCGATGGTGGGGTGGAGAGTCCATCTGTTAATGGTGAATTGGGTATGGCTGAAAGTTTGAGGAATCGAGTGAGTGTGGGTGATATTGAAATCATGAGGAGTAGAACGAGTGCTAGTGAGACTGATAATATACGTGGAATTGGGAAAGGAGTTGAACCTGAAACTGTGGATCAGGTGGGGTGTACTGGACGAGAAGATGGGGTTTCTTCAAGAAAGTTTTCTAGGCCCCCTAGTGTGATGAATGGCTCGAGAGAGATGGGCTCAGTTCATTCCACTTCTGATGAGAAGGAAGGTTTTCTTGAAAGATGGAGGAAGGTTATTTGGAAGGTTTGTGTTTATCTTGTGACTGTTGGGATGCTTGTGGCATTATTAATGGGTATGAACATGTCATGGACTGCTATCACTGCTGCTTTGGCCCTTGTGGTTCTTGATTTCAAAGATGCTCGACCTAGCCTTGAGAAGGTCGATTTCTCTTCGTTTCTCTTACCTGAATAAAATCTCCCTTTTTTCCCTGTTTTTTTTTTTTGCTTCTGTTTATATGAATATTGCAGACTTTTTACCTGATTATTTGCAAATTTCCGTGCAAGAGAGCTGAATTCATCTCTTAGGTAGATAAAACTTCTTTTCCTTTTCTGGCTTCAATATGTACAGCTTAGAGTTTCATCCCTGTCTTCTACTTCTGTGATGATCTCAAGCTTTCTAGTTGACTCTTTCCATTTTGCACTACAAGACAGTTGAATTCTTTGGGCCTTTGAAGTATAAAAATTTTATTTTCCTTTTTTAAGTCAAATTCAAAGGGTTAAGTTTTCATCTTTTCATCTGCTTAAATAAAGATAACATGCTTCTTGATTGAATTTTGGAAATAAATAATGGTTTGATTCTTTTCGTTTTCTTATAAAACTTCTAAACAATACCGTGAGGTAGAAATTGGAAAGCAGGTCATCCACCTTATTGTCTCCAGAGGTGATTGTTATATGCAAATTTCTCCAGTGAGATGCACCTTCTTGACAAAATATTTCCAGTTTCTCACAAAGTTCCGGATTTTCTATGAGATGCCCTGAATTTTGGGTCTTCTGAAAGAATCCACCTGGAAGAAATCTGTTCTGGTGGGTCCCTCTCTTCACCAAGCAGTTATGAGTTATGACCCCAATGGACTATATCACCATGCTTTTCCATAGCCAATTAGATTATAGTATAGTTTCCCTTATATCTAAACTCTTAATTATCAAAGATCATTTGGAATTTGTCTGTTCAATGTTTTAGTTGATTATTCTCATTGATTCTTAGTAAGAGAAGTTGCACATATCTTGACTGGGTTCGAATGATGTCCCAAGCCAGGTTTCCTATTCCCTTTTGGTGTTCTTTAGTGGCATGTTCATCACTGTTGATGGATTCAACAAGACTGGAATTCCCAGTGCTGTTTGGGATTTCATGGAGCCTCATGCAAGGATAGATAGCATTGGTGGGGTTGCAGTTCTTGCTATAGTAATTGTCGTGCTCTCTAACATCGCTTCGAATGTCCCCACAGGTAAGTTTCTGTCCACTTTTTTCAGCCTTTCCTTTAGGAAATGTATATTATGCTCCCAGGAACTATGAAAAGCCGGAGTCCATAGGGACCATGACCGTCCAATGTAACGAGCTAGTTATGGAGATATAGTCGAACACACAGGAATATGACAAAAATGCAATGTTGAATCCCACTCTTTGTGCATCACCATCCACCGTTTGCAGGACATTCACAAACTCAGTGAACTACGTATTCTGTTGTCCATTGGACATTGATATAATGCCATGTCTGTTATTTTCATTGAGACGCATCAATATTCCTCAACTTCGAAAAGAAATTCATGATAAGTTCTTATTATGCAAAGAATATTTTGTGGAAATTTACATTTTGCATGAAAATTTATTTATTTGATTTTTAGTTTAAACTTCAAAATGGGAAGGAATGGGGAATCTCTTTTGCCTTGGTCTGTTCACCGTTGTTTCTTCTACATCAAGTTTTGACAGGTTGAACTGCATAGGTATTGTTAAAGAATGATGCTTTTAGCATCTTTATTTTTACTCTTTATAAATTTGATGATATTTTAGACTGATGTTGCACCATTCCGGCTAAATTTGTTCTTGCAAATCCAAACAAGTTTATTTCTACCCAACCCATAAATTTCCAACATGAGAAACCTCTTTGTTAGTAGCTTTTCGTATTTATATCATGAATTGGAAGGTGGGTAACATACACTTCAGAGCGCCATTCTTCATATAACACCATGGGGCCAAGACATTTATGTCCTCAAATTTCATTTCATGAACTGTTAGTATTAAATTATTGCCATTTAAAAACATAATGATATGTTCAAAGCAATGTTCACAAAATCGAACCAGAACGGTTAACCAGACATGGGTCTAGAAGCACTTTAACCGGCCTAACCGGTAAACCGGCTGATTCAGCCGCTCTAACCAGGCAAGTCTCGGGCGGTCAAAAAATTGTTGAAAAAAAATGCAAAGAATAATCTACTTACATATGAAAGGAATATAGAGAATGATTAAAACAAAACACATTCAAATGAAGTTGAAAATTAATGAAAAAAATGGATTTTAACCCATTTTATATTTCTAAGGGCTATTTTTAAAATTTTCTAAAAAAGATGGGAAAATATAAAAGTGAGTATTAATGACCAAAACAATTTTTAATCTTTACCATAATGTAAAGAATATTTAAAAACTGCATTACAAATCAAATTCCTTATTTTTGAGAATTTATATACATTTTTTTGAATTTTTTTTAAAATACTGGTTGATCACCCTAACCACCCAAAACTAGAACCAGCCATTGGCCGGTTCCGATCTAACTGGGTGGTTAGCGGTTAGATCGGGCGATTTTGCAAACAATGGTTCAAAGTATTCAAATATTGTAAAGGGAACAATGTGCAACATATACTATAGATTAGACTGATTTTATCAGCAGCATATACTATCAAATTCTTATAATGTATTAATCTTTTCTTTGAGGGAATGGAGCAAGCTTACTCCATAAGAGTCTTGGATGTTCTCATGCCTAAGTTATGTCCCTTTAGGATATTGTTAGAAATAAAATCCCCATTGAGGTGGATTGGAGATGACCTAGTGATTTATTTATAGGTGCAAGCTTTAGAATTGAGTGGTGCAGTTTTCTTGCAAAACAGTGACAGATTCTGTTATAGGTGCAAGCTTTATAGTAGCTTCTGTCATGGGTTTTTTTGTCAGTGATTTGAAAATCGTCGATACGATTCAGTATCAACGAAGTCGATCGAGATCGGGAGGTCTGTGATTCTAGCTCAAGGAACCTCTAATTGCCTGATTCCCCCAGCTCAACTGAGATGGATTGGAATCAACCATCTAGCTCAGTTTTCTTGGGAAGTGAGTGGGTACTCAATTCCTGTTTCAAATCACTGCCTTTTGTAGCACATCCTAGGAACTAAAAATACCCGCCATGTTTAGTACACACTGTATCATTTGAGGCATGGTTTATTTTGGAGTTATTCATAGTGAATGCCCAAAAATACTGTTTCCCTCTCTATCATGCACAAAAAGAAAGCACCTTTATTATGATACACTTTATACATGGGAAGATATAGGATGTGATCTATATGATCAAATTACCATATTATGGTGACATGGATAATCATTTTCCCAAACAGTTTTGATAGTAGGGGATTGATAGTGGGATGCCAATGAATTAATGAAGTCTTTGGTAGTACCCACTCTCCCTGTGTCACCAATCAATCAAATTGATGGGATGTTGATAACTCTCGTGACCATCATGTTACCAAAATCATCTCTCTCAATGTTAACTTCTCTTTGACTTGACCACATTGACCTAAACTCCCATTCGACAAGGTCTTAATAAAAAGTATTCCATTCAATTAAATTTTATTTCATCATCAGTAATGTAATCACCACTTCACATCCCTAATGACTCTCTCTCTCTCTCTCTCTCTCTCTGAAAATACATGGCCTCAGTTCTCCTCCTCGGCGCTCGTGTGGCAGCATCAGCGGCCTCAATCTCTGCAGGGAAAGCAACACGTGCGTGGCTCATCCTGGCGTGGGTGAGCACAGTGGCAGGGAACCTCTCATTACTGGGATCTGCCGCCAACTTGATCGTCTGCGAGCAAGCTAGGCGCACTCAGCTGTTTGGCTACACCCTCTCCTTTTGGACCCACATAAGATTTGGACTTCCCTCTACAATTATAGTGATTGCTATAGGGTTGCCTCTCATAAGGGGTGTCTAAAGGGCCCCTTTTTTTGTGGGAATGGTTGTCTTCCATGTAAATTCTTGCTTTTGTTTTGTTTCTTGTGTTAAAACGAATAATAAAATTGCGAGAAAATGGGGGAAGGCTTGGTTGTACAAAGGTGGCTTTGGGGTTTTGTCCATGGATTAATTGTGATCAGCCATAATAATGGGATCAGAAATTTAAAAAGGTGGATTTGGGTATTGAAAATCGTGGATTTCCGATTTGGATTGGCAATGTATGAGAAACTTTGAATAAATGGATAAATATCCCAATAGTGAAAAAACAAATATTTTGGTATGTCATTTTTATAAGGCGATATATTATTAAATCTAAGTTAATTCAGCAAATGTAGTAGGTATAGGGACTACACCACTGTAAGGAGAAAGATACCATCGTCCAAAAAATGTCTTATATTCAATGATTTAAACTATTCACCTTATAAAAATGTCTTATATTCAATGATTTGAGCTATTCACCTTTGCTCCTCCTTTTTGATGCTCCTCTGAAAACCCTAGCCTTTTTCTTTACCAGCCCCAGTGCCCTAATCCTCCTCAGTTTCTTACAAATTTCTTGTTTTTTGTTGAGAATTCCTGTGATTTCATTGATCTGGGGTTTTCTAGCCCTAATTCTACTCCATATCTCACTGGTTGTAGCCTTTTTAGTAGAGTTTGCTAAGGATTTGTAAATTTGGGGTTTTTCTGGTTTGTTTCCATGCTGGATTGCGCTTATTGTGGAGATATTGATTGAACTGTGGGTTTTGTTGGTTGTTTTTCCAACCAGGTTTTTTCCTTTATAGAGTGAGATTTACAGTGTTTTGGTGTTTCTGAGAATTTATGGGTTTTCTAGGTGGAAATATGTGGAATAATGAATAACAATGCTGCTGCTGCTTCCGCTATTGTAGCTGCAGATTATCGGGTGCAACAAAACCCCCAGTTAAATCAATATCTCCCAATAAGCACAATCCAGCATTGCAATAAATCAGAAAACCCCTTAATTAACAAATCCTCCTCAAATACCACTAAAATAGCTACAACAAGTGAGAAATGGAGTAGAACTAGGCTTAGAAAACCCCAGATCCATGAAATCACAGGAATTCTCAACAAAAAAGACAAATTAGTGAGAAACTGAGGAGAATTAGGGCTTTGGGTCTGGTGAAGAAAAAGGCCCTTTCTCCTCCTTTTTGATGCTCCTCTGGAAACCCTACCCTTTCTCTTTGCCAGTCCTAGTGCCCTAATGCTCCATGGGTTTTTACTAATTTCTCTTTTTTGTTGAGAATTCCTGTGATTTCATGGATCTGGGGTTTTCTAAGCCTAATTCTATGCCATTTCTACAGGTTGTAGCTTTTTTAGTGGAGTTTGCCAAGGATTTGTGGTTTTTTTACATGCTGGATTGTATTGTGAAGATATTGATTGAATTAGGGGTTTTGTTGGCTGTTTTTCCTATCTGGTTGTTTCTTTTATAGAGTGTGATTTACAGTGTTTTGGTGTTTTTGAGAATTTAGGGGTTTTCTAGGTGGAAATATGTGGAATAATGGTAATAGCAGTGTTAAGACTGTAAATGCTGCTGCTTCCGCTATTGTAACAGCAGATCTTCAGGTGCAACAAGCTACTGTTCAGGTATCTAGCATATTCTCCCCTGTTTTTTAGATATGTTTCTAATTTTTCCTTTTTTTCATTTATATTTCTATGTTGAAGTTTTTCTTTTATATATCTATAATTTAACATAGGTACATGCATGCACAAGTGAATTCATGAATCCATGTTATGCTCTATACGCAGAGGTGCATACATGCTTCCATACTTGCCCATGTAGATTATTGAGTGCTCGATACATATGAGACCAATCCTTCCTATGACCATCTATGCATGTAAAGGTGTGCCAGTCTGTCTACTTGTATGCATATCCAAATATGCATGTATTTGCTTGGATGTATGCTTTCATGATGAAAAACCCCTATTTGTAAGTATTCTGGTTCCAAATTTTTTTGACGGTATAACCTTTCTTCTTATTTGTGTAAATTAGTATGTTACCTGTTATTGTAGAAATAGTTGGAATGATGCGGAATTTTTTCTATATGTGGTTTGGAAGGCCTAAAATGCTTGTGTATTTTGGAAATGACTGCTTCGCCTCCTTGAAAATTAAAGAGAGTGAGAGAAGGAAGCAAATTTGATTGTGCATCTCTCCTTATTGGTGGTATTCTTAGCAGGCTCAATTTGTTTGTATTTGGAAAAAGTGCAATGCCATCCTATCATATTTTGTATTCGTTCTATAAACATTTTGGACAATGGTGATATGTAACTGTTGTTTTAGTTTTTTGAATTTCATTTTTATGTATTTAGAAAATTCAGCGGTGATTCTACCTTAACGGCCAAAACTCAAAGAATGTTTGGCCAAAATTTATCATTTAGGATTGCAAGACCAGTTTTGCTTTATGGGGCGGAATGGTGGGCGGACAAAAAATAATATATTCATAAAATGAGTGTAACAGAGATGAGGACGTTGAGATGGATGAGTGGCAACACAAGAAGGGATAGAATTCAGAATGAATCCATTCAAGAAAGTTTAGGTGTGGCATCAATAAGCGATAAGAGGATAGAGATTAGACTTAGGTGGGCTGGCCATATGTGACGTCGACCCAGTACAACACCTGTTAGGAGATGCAAGTTAGTTCAAGTGGAAGGATTGAAAATGGCAAGGGGTTGGTCCAAAAGAGCGTGATTGAAAGTATTCCGAAAAGATATGGGGACTTATGGCCTCACTGAGGGTATGGCCTTAAATAGAGCAGGATGGTGGACCAGGATTCGTGTAGCCAACCTCAATTAATTGGAAAAAGGCTATGATGATGATGATGATTGTGTTGGTCATTTTTATAAATTAGATATTTAGAGAAAAGCTTGAGATGCCTTGTTTTATTAGGCACGCATGTGGGGATCTATATATATGTGCGCATGTGAATGCACAATTTAGAGGTTTTTTGTTCACTAATTGAATTTATTTCTTGGTGATGACAATGTAGTGATATGGGCGCCATCAGCTTGAAGCCAAGGTATTGCTTTAGTACATGCCCTTTTGTACAGAATTCACCAAGTATCGCTTTGAAATTGAGGAGGGGATCCACAGTTTCATATGTCCATCTGCGTATGACCTGAAAATATTTCATTGAAAATCATCTATGCATGTCCATGACTCTTCCCTGCCTTTCTCTTGAATTGACCCATACTTAAGAGTCACGAATCTTACTATGACACTGTTTCCAGCAATCGAGTTTCTTTAAACGCTTAATGAGCCCTTATTTCCGTTGGCTTTGTTCTATTGCAACAACTGAGTTCGTTTTAGTACATCGACTCCATAGTACCACCAGATTTCTAAGACTTGCAGGGGATCCTCAAGTGGTTCATCAATTCCTTCTGCTAAGGTCCCCCTCTTTTGTACTCCTATGACTGGGACTGACAACTATTCAATTAATCCTCGCCTTATTCTTTATAGAGGTTAATGGTCCAATTGCCATAGATTTGTGGACTATCTCGAGTCTGCTCTGGTCTTTGGATGGCCAAGCAAGGCCCGATCTGTTTTGTGGGGTCATAATAAAACTTTTGAGTTTTCTGAAGTAATTCTAAGTTTTGCAAGGCTTGGTAAATTTTAGTTTTCTCAATTTTACTTTATTTTATTTTCTGAAGACCCTTCAAGCCAGCTGTGCTTGAGACTCTGGAGCATTGCCAAGTATTGTATGATAAAGCACAATATAAGTAGTTACCATAATAAACAATGGCGTACTTATTGACCTTGTACTTTTGTATTATCCGTAAGCACAATACCATATGTGACTATTGGCCCAAATGATCAAATGATGTCTCAGTAAATGGTTTTAAGACTTGGGTTAAGGGGCGTTCTTAAATTTTCTCAAATCCTTCTGTTACAATTCAGCTAATAGTATGTTGTTGTTGTGATGATGTATACTAGTGATGCGTTAATTCCATTGGGAAATGCTGCATTCTAGCTATGTTAAGTTTTTCGTCAGGTTGATACATTTAATAGCATATAATTACTGAAGTTTCGGAACTCGGACCTGATTTAAGTCTGAAAGGCATACAACACTACTATATTTCAAGAGTTTTCAACCACTTAAACTGCTCCCCCGTTCAGGATCATTCAATATTCAGTTGGGTATAATAATGTCAATCATGTACAAAGTAATTCGAGTACTCTTCCAGAATCGTTTATTGTTGCAACAAAAAGAGAAATTCTATGATTCAAAGCTTCCTGTGTTCTTTCAAGTCCTTGAGACTTGCTGATAAAATGAGGTTCTTCGGTGGAACATTAACCATATGAATCTGTTCTGGCTTTATATGCGCTATTTTACAAAGGTTTCTTGATATTTATTCATGAGGCCCCCCTGGCTTTCTTTCTCTGTCTGCTCTCTCCTCTGGTGCTAGTCTCAAAACCACCCTTCCTCGATCTTTGCCATTGGGCCATGAAACCCAACTCGTCTCTCCTCCTGTTTTCTCAACCTTTACAACTGAACTGTCGACTGTTCCTTTGACCCACCACCTGAATTTGTTCATCTCACTACACCTTCATCTCCTGAAATCCCCTGTGCCCAGCTCGTAACTTCTCTCTCTAGACCTCACGTGCCCAAACCACGAGAAGGGCCTTTCTTGAATCTAAGTTTTACATGAACCCGACATGGGCCTTTCTCCGAAACCAGGACTCGGAAGAGTTTTTCGTGGACTTGGACCCGACCTGGACCTAGGTCAGGTCCTAGTAACTTGGACCCTAGTGCGACCCGGGCCTAGGTCAAGTCCAACTCATTTGAACCCAAATCCAACCTGGACTCTAGAAATTAAAAGAAATAAATTATACACTTGTTTTATACAAGAAATGTATATATGGATACCATTTAATTTTGATACAAGGAGGCTACAAGTACTATTGACTAATGGGATTTGAAATCGGGTGGCTGCGGATGTGTCATTGATTGCGCACAATATCTGAAATAAAATTTCTCGAATATTGGGATAAACTTCTATCCATTGGATTTTACACTAAAAATGATCAAGACCTTGTACCTAAAATAAATGATGAAGACATATATATATATATATATATATATGTGTGTGTGTGTGTGTGCGCGTGCGCGGGTGAAGACGCACCTCTAAATTTTATCATCATATATAATTTTATTTTAAAATATTTTTAGGATTATGTTGGAATCCATTTTCATATCTAATTAGAAAATTTTAAACTCCAAAAATGGTTAAAATCAAGTAGATTTATAA